GTGCCTAAAAATTCATTAAATTTATTTGCATCAATGTCTCGTATAATCCCATTATCAAAATTTATTTATGTAGCGTATCATTCTAATAAAATCAGCTGAAAGTTTGAATGACTTTTCATTATTACGTACATACATACAAGAAGCTAGGGAGAGACGCTATATCTCTCTGAGATATCTTCTATTCATTGGCATGAACTAGATAAACGTGCGCCTGTGAGACATTAAATCTCTTTTCCTTGCTTCCACATATGTATGTATACATGAACACGAAAGTATAAATTTGCTATAAAACAAAAGGGTAAACAAAGCCTCGGTGAATTGCATCGCAATGAATGCTACATCAAAATTGACAAACTTAAATTTGTGCCACCTACTCTTTAATTAGCTTGCTTCTATTTTTTGCTTTTAACCGGAGTCGGTTCACTTTGTAAAAGATATTGGCGTCCGCCTATGAGCTCGCAGTTGCGCGTGACAGAACAAACATTACAACCCCTTAGAAGCCGCCTACAAGGCGCTCGCGCGCGTGGCACCCACCCCCTCCCCCTGGCGGTTAAAATGTGGCACGGTAACCTGAGACATAGGGTGCGACTGGGGATGCTTTAATTTAATAGGGTACAGGATATTTTTATTCATTTGCGAATATTAAATACGGACAATAAAAAACTTTATGGAGAGTGAAAATGTTCTAGTGGATTATGCAAATTCCATGAAAATATAAAGAGAGATGACGTAGTCTACACATGTGGACTATTTTTATCTTATTTTTTCCAAAATATATGGAAAGTCTAGGAATACTGATAACTTACAATAATTAATTGAGGAAAAAGTGAGTTAAGGGATTAAGAAAGAAATTAGAAGAAATTAGATTGTTAAACATTTTACAATTTCTAAATAGATAACTATATAAAAAAAATAAATAAAATAAATAGTATTTTATTTAATTTCAACTTAAAATACGAAAAATTATATAAAATCCTTCAATTCAGTGTTATAATTTTATCAGATAAATGTCGCCGCGCTTGAAAAACGGAACGGATGCGTATTAATTATTCTTATTGATCGATTACATTAGAAATTTCAGGCATTTCGATCGTCGGAAGAAATAATTTTTCTTAGAAGGAAGTATCGATATCCGTGTTCGGTTCGATAGCGAAAGGGTAGGAAGATAGCAGTACCCTACTAAACTTAAACATCCCTACCCTAGACGCACACGACTTCGCGTCCCCGACGACGACGACGACGACGACGATGGACGACGGACGAGGTAGCACGCAGGCGCCCGCGGTGTAACATCGTCAGCACTCGCTACGACTACGGGGTGGTGTTGCAACGGGGGTGGCGAAGCCGAACGTCTGCTCAGCGGACGATAGACAGCAGGTAGTGCAGGGTGGCTCGTAACTCGTATGCGTGAGCGCGAGTATACACGCGCTATAATGTCCGCCTACGTGGCTGCCGAGGTTCTCGCGGGTCGCGGATCGTTCAGCGGATGGCCGACGTAGTGACGTAGAGTGAAGTGGAGAACGCCGTTGTACCGCGAGGAGCGTCGTCGCGAGTGTCGTCTGCGAATCTCTTCTTCTCGTCTCGTCATTCGTATATTATTTTTTTTTTCTTCACGCGAAAGGGAAAGGATCTTGGATCGCGATCAAGACATCCTCGGTCTTTTCTTGGCACTCCCGCTTGACTGCCCTCCTTCGGCGTTCTCTTTCCGCCGAGAAGAGGTAAGCCCGATGTCCGTACGACGTCGTATCCTCCGAGCGTGAAGACGATCGATCGTAAAAATCCACATATACACACCGTGCCCGCCGTTCCCCGCCTCCCTTCCGGACCTTCCTCCGGCGAACTACACTCGGATACGCTGTCGTATCGATCACGCTGCTGCCGTGATGGATGTTTTGCACGTCGATTACAGGAACGGCCTTGTCACAGAAGGGACGTTTCTTCCGGAAATCTGATCGTTGATCATCCCTTCGATTTCCTCAAAGCTATCATCGCGGTCTTTTAGATGATCCGCGTGTTTTTTAACATCCTCGAGAAATGACAGGTTTTGCCAGATGCTAGAGTTCGAAGCTCCTTCGATTCTTATTTTAATATTCTTAATATACTATCTGTCCAGCAAATTTTGTACGTCTATTATTACATACATTTCACAATACAATTTTTATAAACATATACATAATGATAAAATATATATAATATAATGATAAAATATTGCGCAATATATATAAATAATTAATGAAAATAAAAATTATTATTGTATAGCACACTTTTTACTTTACATTGTTGTGTAGCCATTTAAAATCCTTTTAGATGTTTATTTTTAATAAATATTTAAAAATTTGGATAGCCTTAGTCATCAGTGATCTATCATGTCAATGTTGACATTTGTAAAATTCATTACGCTAATGTTTAATGTGAGAAAAATGCGTTATATATTTAATGAATTATCAATACATATTACATTTTCGTTTTCTGTCAGTAGCGAGTAACTGAGATATTTATTTCAAGGAGAAATTTTCTCCTCTTATCTCATTATCCTTCCTTATTCTTCCGTTATTTCGTTTCCTGCTATCCTTTTCTCTTCTAATTATCCTGTTCTTCCATTATCTGGTTAAGCATTATTCATTTATAATCATCTTCTCATAATTTATAAATAATCAGATCTCAGTTTAAATCGAAACTTCTTAAATATAATAGTAATAAATAGCTTATCGAGAAGCAAATACAATTCTCTTTTTTGTTAGAAGAAATATAAATAAAGGTAAGTTTAATTAGATGGTCCCTCCCTGAATCGCGTTAGTACCGCATATTGAGAAGCTTCTCTCGTCTTGTTAGCATCGGTCGGATTCGATTATGCATTCATGCGAATTTTTACGTAAGATGTCACAACTCCTGATAACTAATTTACACACGTAAGTTACGCAATTGCTATGCCTTCAGGTTCAATCCTTTTGAAATTTCAACGGGAGTATTGACAACTAGTTGTCATCCATCAACTTGCAGACAGTTAATATATTCTTTCAAATATCACATGAAAAATAAAATGAATAAATTTAATAAATCTAAAAATGAAATAATTTTAAATGGACAAATTTAAATAACATCGGAAAATTAAACAATTTTAAATGATTAAATTTAAATAATACATCGAAAAAAGGAATATGTTTTTTTGTACTTTAACAATATTAACTTACACTTGTATGTATTTAATAATAGATACGTATGCATTAATACTGACGTATTTTTGTATATAATATTTTTTTTGTATATAATATTAATACGTTGTATTTTTTTTTAATTATCGACCTACACGCACAATTTTCTGAGCAATGCATGAATGCATTATCTCACATACTCCTCGCATCGACATATAATGACGTCAATATACCTTCGTAATATATGACATCCATCATTTGTATTAACAATATTGATTTGTGAATATTTATAGAAAATTAAACGAGTTTGATTCTCGTTAAGTTTTTTTCTAACATAATTTGATATCGTGAGATTTGATCGGCTACTAATCGAATATTTGGAAAATTAATTTTAGATTTTTTTTTCGTTCATTCTTTCCTGCAAACACTCGCCGATTAACTAAAATAAATATTTCGTCTCTCGCATTAATATGACACGTCTTCAGTTTCCTACAAATATAGATCGGTCACAGTACTAATTAATTATTCTCCCTTATCCGATAATTCACGTATTTCTGGACGGATCAATGGCCCGCACAAGTCTCCTACGATGCTTGTAAATATATAAAATGTCGTTATCACATTCGACCGGCCAATAATTACGTGAATTCGAACGTTGAAATTTCTTTTATGCCTAACGAGACACTAGACAACATATTTGCATAAATTTAAATCTTGTAAAACGCAATTTAAATTTAACAAAAGTACGGATCAATCTTATATGATCATTAAGAATGAGTCTACTGTAAAGTGATCTATTTAGTTTCAGTGATTTAGGTCAACGATTAACGATCCCTACGTAAAAAATATATTTCGCATACGATAAAAAAATAAATAATGTATTTTAATAAATATCTAATATAAACACGTAATAAAAACATATTTGTGAATTTTATACAATATTTAATAAGTCTGATATAAAGTGATCCGTCCGATTTCAGTAGTGTAGATCAATGATTAACGATCCCTACATGAAAAATTTTATACTTAAAAAAAAATATACTACGGCATTTTAAATGTAATAAAAAACACTACATATAAATCTTACATAATCCTTAAAAACAAGTTTGATATAACAAATCTGATATAACAAGTCTGATGTAACAAATCTATCTAGTTTCAGTGGTTTATATCAACAATTAACGATTTCCGTATCTGAAAGATATTTCGCACACAAAAAAATATACCGTATATTTTGAATTTAATAAAAAGACACGTGAATCTTATGTGATCTTTAAGAATAAATCAAAATTCTGTTGTAAATGAGCTATCTAGTTTTAGTAGTTTAGGTCAATAATTTCTACTTGTCAAATATTATATTTACGAAAAAAATCAGCATTCAAATTTAATGAAAAGACATAGAACTTATATGTCATGTAAGAATAAATTGTAAAGTGATTTATCTAATTTTAGTAGTTTAAGTCAACGATTAACTGCCCCTACATGAAAAAATATATATTTTTAATTTAATAAAAAAACATGTGAATCTTACGATCCTTAAGAATAAGTCTGTTGTAAAGTGATCTGTTTGATTTCAGTGGTTTAAGTCAACAATTAAAGACGTGAAAAATATTCCACGCGCGAATATATTGTGCAAACTGCGCGTTTTTTTTTTACTCTTTCTTATTCACCTCCATGGAAAAGTATTATCGGAATAATATATTAATAACTGAGATATATTCTTAGATATGAAGACTACAGAGTAGTTTCGTAGCAGGTTTTTTGTCGCGTACTCGCAATAAACGATATTAAACGTAAAATTAATTAATTCTACAGTGACACAATTAACGAGACGTTATTTTGTTATAGAGAGACGAGTGAGAGAGGAAGTTATCACCAGCACCGCCGCCGACTTGATCCGACGTTAAATTAAAAAGAGAAGAAAAAAACAGGAAAAATGTCGTCGGTTAAGGTGGCGGTGAGGGTACGGCCCTTCAACTATCGCGAAGTCAGTCGTCAGGCACAATGTATCATAGAAATGACGGGGAGTACTACTTGTAAGTACTACTTCTAACATGCAGCTTAAATCGAGCAATTTATGAAATAATTATCAGTTTATCGTATACACATTTGATTCGTTACTTTTTCTTTTGCAGCCATAGTGAATCCGAAAGCTACACCAGGAAGCAAAGAAGCGATCAAGAGCTTCAATTATGACTATTCCTACTTTTCTATGGACGTAAGTATTTTAATATAGTTTTTTTTCATATAGTACTTATAGTAGTTATAGTAGTTGACGTGATATCCTTATGTTTAATTTGGATAAAATTTAATTTTTAAATTTTTAAAATTATTACAGCCAAATGATGAGAATTACTCGTCTCAGCTCATGGTTTATAAGGATATCGGTGAAGAAATGTTGGAACATGCTTTTGAAGGTAAATATTAATTAACAATAAGACATTTTTTCTAACTATTTGTTTAAAAAATCGTTTAAAGAAATAATTAAGACAATATTGTATTTTAAATGATGTAAATGAATTAATAATTTTTGTATGAAAAATAATTGTAAATAATCACATGTTATTAATGTTAAATTAAATTTATTAATCATATGTTATTAATTATTTTAGTTCTTAGATAAATTTGTAAAGATCATTGTCTTTCGAAGCAAAATTTATATTTTACTAATAAACAAGACATAATTCTCTTTATTTTTTTTTGCGATGCAGGCTATAACGTTTGCATTTTTGCATACGGTCAAACTGGCGCCGGTAAATCTTACACCATGATGGGTAAGCAAGAAGAAGGGCAGGAAGGAATAATACCACAGATTTGCAAGGATCTGTTTAGGAAAATCAGTTACACATCTAATGAGCGATTGAAGTACTCAGTAGAAGTGAGTTATATGGAAATCTATTGCGAAAGGGTGCGCGATTTGTTAAATCCGAAAAATAGGGGAAATCTTCGAGTAAGGGAACACCCTCTTTACGGACCTTATGTTGAAGATCTTTCCAAGTTAGCAGTATTATCATATGAAGACATTCACGATCTCATAGACGAAGGTAACAAGGCCAGGTTGGTTTCATGCTCAGTAACTGAAATTTTACAAAAATTATTTTTATAGCATTGTACACAATACGTTATTGAAAATATATTCTAGGACTGTCGCAGCAACCAATATGAATGAAACATCTAGTAGATCACACGCAGTTTTCACGATATTCTTTACACAACAACAACAGGATAGTACCACTGGTTTGATGACGGAAAAAGTTAGCAAAATATCATTGGTCGATTTAGCCGGATCTGAGAGAGCTGATTCAACGGGTGCGAAAGGGACACGATTAAAAGAAGGAGCTAACATTAATAAGAGTTTGACGACTCTCGGGAAGGTTATCAGTGCCCTGGCTGAAATTGTAAGTATCATACTTTGCTCAAATCTGTGTGATCTTACATTGTAATTCTTACATTGAGCATTGAATTTATCTTACATTAGGTATTATATTTCTGTCATTATTTTACTTGTTTGCTACTTTGGATTGTCAGGCGGTAAGTTCAGTTAAAACTATAATTCAAAGAATATTTAATTATAATAAATATTGCACGTTAAAATAATATATTTAATTGTAATATTTTGGATGTAATATATTTTGTGTAATATATTGAGTGCTTTCCATTTAGTGACACAAGTCGACACAAACATTCTATTTTTCTTGACATTCAGAGAGTAACAAAGATAGAAAGACACTTGTTTCGATTTATGTAGATTTGTGTTACCAAATGAAAAGCATCGATAATGATTATCAACAAATTTGCGTTTCTCTATAGGCAACGAAAAAGAAGAAGAAAGCCGATTTTATACCATATAGAGATTCCGTTTTAACATGGTTGTTGCGGGAGAATTTGGGCGGAAATTCAAAAACTGCTATGATTGCAGCAGTTAGTCCTGCCGACATCAATTACGATGAGACACTTTCAACCTTACGGTAAGATTTATTATTTACTACATATTTTTCAAACTAATTCTTGAAATTTAAATGACTTAATTAAGCGTTTAATTAATGATTAGACCTAACAGGCTTACGTTTTATTCGCAGATACGCAGACAGAGCGAAACAAATTGTCTGCAAAGCCGTGGTCAACGAAGACGCGAATGCCAGACTTATCAGAGAACTCAAAGAAGAGATACAGAAATTACGCGAACTTCTAAAGCAGGAGGGCATCGATGTACAAGAAGGTAAATTAAAAGCATTTTTAGAAAATTATTAGAAATTATAATATTAAATCGAATTAGAGGACTTTTTATTATAAAAAGCATATACAGACAAGGACAGACTATATATAGATATGCTAAATTAATAATGATCAAATATAAATCTTAAATTATAATCGTCTTAAATTCGTGAAATATGCAGAATATTGAAGTGCTATTCATCATAAATATAACTCACTTTATCTATTAGTTGATTAATATAATGATAATAATTGCATAGATTATAACAATAAATTATTCAGAGAATCACAATGCTGAATGCACGTGTTGCAAACGTGAATTCTTGGCTGCTATAAACTAATTGCAATTGCACAGCGCGCGACAGGCAATCCATTCACATAGTATTCTTCTCTTTGTTTTCCTTGCGCTCGACGTAGGGCCAGATGGCAAAGTTACATACGAAAAGAAAGAACCTAGTAAGTAAAAATGCTAACAATCCATTGTAAGCAAAAAGTGCAGCCAAGACGGGCATCTCTTGCGCCTCTTTTGTAGATATTTTGTTGTTTTATTTTGTTTATGCGCTCTTATTTCATCGCTAAGCGCATAATACTTGTTATTGATATATGTCGATTTTCTTAATTTTTGTACGTTTGCTTCGCGAATTTCTTTTTCATCACTTATTGTATGTATTTGTCTTGTTAATATCTATTGATTGCGCTTCCCTCTCTCATATATTTCATACAATTAATAACTTTTTTGACAATTCTTAAAATTTAAATGAAAATCTAAATTAATATAATTGATTATATATCTATTTATAAAAGTAAAAATGTATTTTAAAAATAAAATATTACATTTATGAAAGAGAAAATGTGACACAATGAGGATGCCAAATTAATTGAATTTATTCGAAAGTGCATATAAAAGATATCAATAGATATCAAATGGCGATTAGATCATGCTTATATTCATTAGAGCATCTCGATGCTCTGTAAAAAAGTATCTGTCCTAGACTAGTTATGTTTCTACATTTTTAGAATGAATATGTAGCAACAATATAAACTTTACAGCTTCTGAAATACTTCTCTTCATCAGCCACTGCTTTAATTATGGCTTTTGATGTTTACACGACTCACGATACCGACTCTGACGCTTGCTATTTTAAATATTACAACTGTCGTTTTCTCGATTCTTAACGGTCCTCATTTTGCAGGGGATGAAATTATTAGAACGAACAAGCGAAATGAAGAAGACACCAAGGAAACTCGACCAAGAATTTCTTCTCATACTACATCCACCATTGCCGAAGAGGCGGTTGAACAATTGCAAGCGTCTGAAAAATTAATCGCAGGTACGTATCTGTAAACGATTATTCTGATAGTCTTTTCTATTCTTATCTCATTGATAATCAATTATAAATATGTAGTTCGAAAATTGTCAAATTAACAAATGTATAGTAGGTATTCTTTTTATTTGATTCTCTATTTTTGTTTTAGAATTGAACGAAACATGGGAAGAGAAGTTAAAGCGAACCGAATCAATTCGCTTGCAACGCGAGGCAGTTTTCGCCGAAATGGGAGTCGCTGTGAAAGAGGACGGAGTCACAGTGGGCGTCTTTTCCCCTAAGAAAACACCGCACTTGGTAAATCTGAACGAGGACCCTCTCATGTCAGAATGTCTGATCTATTACATCAAGGATGGATTCACACGTATTGGTAGTGCCGAGGCACACGTACCTCAGGATATCCAGCTGTGTGGCCCACATATACTTAGGGAGCACTGCGTTTTTGAGAACCATGAAGGAATTATAACTCTTATACCGAAGAACGGAGCCTTGATTTATGTCAACGGTCGCGAAGTAACCGAGCCACTTATCCTAACGACTGGCTCACGTGTCATCTTGGGAAAAAGCCATGTTTTCCGATTTAATCATCCAGACCAAGGTATGCAATACTTGGATTTATTTATTAATGAATTATAAACATTTAGTGAAATGTATGAATAAAATATTGTATCTCTGTGTTTAATTATGCAGTACGTGAACGGATAGCGAATGGCTCCCCGACGGAAACTCCTGGCAATAACGAACCATTAGCAGACTGGAATTTCGCACAGGTCGAGCTATTAGAAAAACAGGGAATCGATTTAAAGGCTGAAATGGAAAAGAGATTACTTGTACTGGAGGAACAGTTCCGTAAAGAGAAGGAGGAAGCTGATCAATTGTTTGAAGAGCAGCGAAAGGTACATATAATACGAATACATACATGATGTCTTTTTAATACATCGTTTAATTGTGACAATTGATTTTTTTCTGTGAATAGAGCTACGAAGCACGGATAGATGCGCTACAAAGGCAGGTGGAAGAACAAAGTATGACTATGTCTATGTACAGCAGTTATACGCCAGAAGACTTCAACAACATCGAGGAAGATATTTTCGGTGAGTGTGGAGAAACGTGTCGCTTCTGAGTTTTAATATACTTTAGTATAGCTATACCTGATCGACTGGGCATCGTCTTACTGTATCTTTCACGTAACTCTTCAGACTTACAAATGTCTTTCACACCATTGAAATTATTGCATGCTATAAGGCCTTATGTTGTCGATGAGACATAGCACATTTGAAATATACTTGACACTTTGATTGCTAAGCTGATTTCATTATTAAGCTGAACTTAATAAATAATAGTATCTAAGTAAATAATAGTAACTAATAAATAATAGTATATATTTTTTAATAGTTTGTTGTTTTTTTCTTAATATAATTTATATTACAATATTAAATTAAATAAATCGAGAAGTGTTTAAACAAATAAGAGAGAATTGTATTTATATATTCACATATGAATGTTACCAAGCACTTGTAAGATTCGCTTTGACCGAAAATGTTTATTTTTTAATAATTTATATCATTTCTCTTTAATGCTTTAAATACTTAGTAAGATAATTCTTAAAATCGGATAAATAAATAAAATTGCTGTTTATAAATGAATAACAAGAAATATAATTCTTATAAATTTTATACGTTACCCAAATATGAATGATATGACTGTCAAAGTGTTAACAAAGTAACTGGTATTATTTCATCAAACGCTTGGCTTCTCTGACTGTTTTGCCTCGTAATGGCTTGCATTTCAGTCAACCCATTGTTTGACGCAGAGAGCAACTGGACCGAGAGAGAGTTTCAACTGGCCGCTTGGGCCTTCCGCAAGTGGAAATATCATCAATTCACGAGTTTACGGGACGATCTTTGGGGCAACGCGATATTCCTCAAAGAGGCTAATGCTATATCCGTTGAACTAAAAAAGAAGGTATAGTCGCGGAAATGTACAACGGACAATTCTTGGCACGGCTTTCTTTCACTTGCGTTTACTACCTCTGCACCTCTGTTCTTGTATATTTTCGAATACGGGAATATGAATTTTAAACTTCTTTTAATGTTAATACCGATGTGAATTACGTTTATTCGTATGATCTTCGCATTCGTATAATCTACACATATGCTTTTTCGAGTGTAATGATAGTCATTTGCAGAATTTAATATTGCACAAAGAAAATTTATACAAAAATGGTATTTAAATATGTTAAATTTAAAAAACCAAGGAAAAATATTTCCGTTGTATAACGGGTTTTATAACATTAATTTTCTTTTCTAGGTTCAATTCCAATTTACCTTACTCACGGACACCCTTTATTCGCCCTTACCTCCGGATCTCTTACCCATTATGGACGAAGACGAGGAGGATGAAAGACCCTTCCCACGCACGATCGTCGCCGTTGAAGTTCAAGATATGAAAAATGGTGCTACGCATTACTGGACCTTGGACAAGCTAAGGTTTGCTTTACTGCTCTATTTTACGTTTTACGACGGTGTTTATTTAATTAACAGAGCATTCGTACTGATACAAATAAAATGTATTTTGCCGCTAAGAAGTAATTTTTGTTAATGACCATCAATTTGCCGACAAATTTAACAACATTGGAGTAATTTTCTAGCTAAATTACAATGGCATTAAATCATCAAATTTATATATTCATAGCATGTCCTCTATAATTGTATTTAATTTCTCATTATAAAACAAGATCCTTTTTTATACAGCGTTCGACGATTTCTTTTCTGTTTCGTTACCGTCGCACGTTACCGAATGCACTTCTTGTGCACTTAATGAAAATTATGAAGATTATCGACCTGCGCCAAAAGTAATACGAAAACTAAATATTTTTATAACAATATGCAGTCGCGAGACGATCAAAAATTCTTCTGCGCGCACTAGGCATTGCACGATGATTAAGATCATAGAATTGAATTTTGAATCGTGGGCCTTTGTTCGCTAATCGAGCGAGAGCGAATTCAGCTTATACTAAAATAAGACTCGGTGTTCGATCCGCATCCGGCTTAAAGGGATCGCACGGCCCACTCACGCGAAGTAATGACATGTATGACTTGTAGACAGCGCTTGGAGCTGATGCGACATGTGTACAACGAGGACTCGAGCCCCAGCACTCCGGAGGCCAAAGAGGATATTTTCCAATGTCTTACGGTCTACTCTAATCCGAAGTTCTCGCTCGCAAATCTTTTGCCTTCGAGGTTGGTGCTCGAATGCGCGAGGCTCTCCTCTTCGCCATGTAATACGCTTTAAATGCCCTCGGCCTTCGAAGAATCCCCTTATCGCTGGCGCAAAAGTCCGTTTTCACCGCCATGCGTTTTGTCGTTTTTTGTTCTGTCTGTCTTGAAAGGCTTTTCTCGGTATGGTAACGCTGTGTGCCCTCCGGCGCGGATACAAACGAAACGGGCTTTGCACTTTGAACTCGCGAAACTTATCGGTTGAATCTGCATGGTTTCCTTTGATAGATTTGTAGCGCAAACGACGCAAATCGGATTGGAATGAGTACGAGCCCTCGGCTCACCAAAAGTTATGCCATCGTTTACGCAGCACCGCTTCCGCTGCTGTGAACATCTCTATTGCTGTCTGAATGTAAAGAAAAGCGTCTCGTCGCATTCTGTGCACGTCTGTCTCAACACCGACACATCTGTCATGCACGTACATTTAATTAACTCGATCAAGAAAACGACGAAGAAAAAAAAAATATTAAACACGTAAAGGGAAGACTCGATATTTCAGGTTTTATAACAAACATATAAATATTTCAATGTTTTTTTTTTATAAATTATTACATTAGCGCTTGCTTATAAATATTATATAAATAATATAAATAACATTTGTCCTTATTTTGAAACAAAGCTTTTTGATGGAAAGGTTGCTTAAACTCGCAACCCCATGAGAATATTGTATATACATACACACATATATATATATATATATATATATATACATATATATAATTTTCTACTAAAACACATAGATAAAAAGTCGAAAACGTTGAATAATAAATAGATGAAATTTACACGAAGAAATTTTAGATGAGTTAAAACACACTTAAATGACTTAACACACGAGTTATGATTGCATTCGCATAATGTCTTGTTATTGGAAATAGCAGTAAACGATAGTTTCGTCTGCTTTCCAGACAAAGGTTGGAGCTGATGCGCGAGATGTATCACAATGAGGCGGAGCTCTCACCGACGTCTCCGGACTTCAATATCGAATCTATTACGGGAGGCGATCCATTTTACGATCGATTTCCGTGGTTCCGTATGGTCGGCAGGTAAATGAATGAATTTAAATATCACCACGATCTTCCTGATTTTTTTCTTCTCTTTTTGCTTTTGATTATTATGCTAATCTGATGTAAAATTTTTCAGAGCTTTCGTATATTTGAGCAACCTCATGTACCCAGTGCCACTGATTCACAAAGTGGCTATCGTAAATGAAAAAGGCGACGTTAAGGGTTACTTACGAGTCGCTGTACAAGCCGTAGTTGGTACGTAGCGTATCTACATTTCACGTCTTTCGCATATATAAGATGTACATAACGAACCCTTCTTCTAGAAGAGGAAAACAGTGAATATTCAAGTGGCGTCAGACAATCAGCTCGAATCTCCTTCGAGGATGACTTGTTTGGTGGGCATAAGCATAATAAACGCAACTCGCTCCTGGCTCAGACTCTAGAGAAAAATCGACAGATTATGCTGCACGAGGAACGCGTGGTTGAAGGGCATAACGAAATTAATCAGAAGGACATGAAAGACGAGGACGATATAGGAGATGCCGACAGCGGCAGAGGTGATAGCTCAGTCTCGAGCGATATGAAAGAGGAAGAGTTGCCGGATCACTTGCAACCCGGTGCAGAATTCACTTTCAGGGTAACGGTCCTACAAGCTATGGGTATTTCCACGGAGTACGCTGACATTTTCTGTCAGTTCAAGTAAGTGTCTGTCTGTTTCAGCTTGTTTTAACATGTAATATATGACCTACAAAGTAATTACTTTTACAGCTTCTTACATCGACACGATGAAGCTTTCTCGACAGAGCCGGTAAAGAACACAGGCAAGGGTAATCCACCTGGATTTTATCACGTACAGAATGTAAGTCGAATATAGAGAGAATCTCAGGTCTAAAATTTTGTTAAAGTTAAAGCCTGCTAATTAATAATATCTCTCAATTAATATAGATTACAGTTACGGTTACCAAATCCTTCTTGGAATATCTGAAGACTCAACCTATTGTCTTCGAAGTGTTTGGTCATTATCAGCAACATCCGTTGCACAAAGATGCGAAACTGGAATAGTGAGTATTAATCATAAACACTAATTCTTTTAGATTTTGCTTAAGAAAATTTCATAATCACATTCGTATTCACATAGCAGCGTACGACAGCCACCGAAGAGAATGCTACCGCCATCCATACCGATCAGTCAGCCAGTTCGTTCGCCGAAATTCGGGAGTGTTCTGCCGTCTCCCAGCACATCGCATGTGCATGCTAAATACGATGTATTAGTGTGGTTCGAGATCTGCGAATTGGCACCGAATGGCGAGTACGTGCCGTCAGTGGTGGACCATAGCGATGATCTACCATGTCGTGGACTGTTCCTGCTCCATCAGGGCATTCAGCGACGTATACGAATCACTATTGTGCACGAGCCGGCTTCTGAATTGAGGTGGAAAGACGTACGCGAACTTGTGGTTGGCCGCATACGAAACACCCCGGAACCGGAGGAAGAAGATAATGACTCGTCTGTGCTTTCACTGGGTCTGTTCCCGGGCGAGTATCTCGAAATTCCTGGTGATGATCGAACCATGTTCAGATTCGAAGCAGCCTGGGACAGCTCTCTGCACAACTCGGCTCTGCTCAATCGAGTCACGTCTTATGGAGAACAAATCTTCATGACTATCTCCGCGTATCTCGAGGTACGTATTAGATATTTTGATGGTTTGTGAGAACATTTCAGGAAGCTTATTCTTTTCACCTGTATCGATTTTAGCTGGAGAATTGTGGAAGACCTGCAATTATCACGAAAGATTTGAGCATGATCATCTATGGGAGGGACGCAAGAGTAGGGCCACGTTCACTCAAGCATCTATTTAGTGGCAGCTATCGCAATCAGGAAGCGAATCGACTCAGCGGCGTCTACGAATTGGTGTTACGTCGTTCTTCGGAAGCAGGTAGCCCAGGTTTGTTATGTCTAACCATAGTGTAGTCCCGTGTTCTACTTTACGTCACATTCAGACGGAATAACGTCTCATTTTTCAAATTATATTATATGTCTGCGACATATCTTTTATCTATATGTACTTAAAAGATATATCTTAAATATACTTATAATATATTTTTTTAGTGACTTCAAATATTGAAACCAAAACCATCTATACCAAAATATCATTCTTAATTTGAAAAAAGGAAAGAAAGCAATGATTAAATATAATTGAATTATTTTAAAGCTGTATATTGTGTTGATTATTCTGACTCTAAAATATTAATCTTAATATAAAAAAAACACAATATTGTTTCACTGCACTATTGCTGAGTATAACAGATTTCTTTAATTATTAGGTGTTGGAATTAATTCGTAGCGTTTTACAAGAGATGGGAAGTACTTTCATTAATGTATTTTTTAATGCTCATGTGAAATAAATAACATTCTTTCATTAAAAATGCTACGAATTAATTCCAACACCTAATAATATTTAATGAACAATAATATTTTTATACTTATTTATATTTTTGGTTTTTTCCTGTTTCTTGTTACCTATCCATTTTTCCTCCCCATATATTTATAGGAGTTCAAAGACGTCAACGTCGCGTCTTGGACACGAGCTCCACATACGTCCGGGGTGAAGAGAATCTTCACGGATGGAGACCACGCGGAGACAGTCTCATATTCGATCATCAGTGGGAGCTCGAAAAGTTGACGAGGCTGGAAGAAGTGGAGAGAGTACGACATACATTGTTGTTGCGGGAGAAGCTCGGTATTGACAAAATACCATTCTGCAATAAGCCTCTGCACGATTTTACGAAGAGCGAAAAGGTAACCGCATTTTATATTATTAAATACTGAAATACAACATAGAATTATATATAATAATTTTAATCTGATATAGGACGTATGTAATATGGTGGCAAAGGCCACAAACGAGCCACATGCTAGCCCAGTAAAACTGAAACGTTCGACGAGTAAAGACGTTTACGAACCCTGGGAAATGACCGAAAGAGATCGTGAATTAACAACTAAGTACATTAAACTTATCCAAGGAAGAATCCCGAGCAAGGAACCGATATTACTGTCCGATGTTTCGCCCGGGGAAGACACCATAACCGATTTATCCGCGTCTATGATGTCTTCAGTCATATCGTCTTCATCTCAAGAGTCAGTATATGCGAAAGCTAGCGATTTTTTAAAGCAGGTAACCCTCTCTGCATGCCCCTGAGTGCTCTTGCTAGTAGCGGTTGTCCATGCTTTGCTTCGCCATATTAATACATTTATCTATAAAAAAAAAACAATTCGATATTCGAAAAATTCGGTTAACTCGTTATCGAATACTCTTGATATGTATGCTGTATAATTTTGCTACATTCCAATATATATGAAAGGAAGACACAAATGCTTCGAACGATTTGAAAAACGGCGTTTGATTTAATTGTTTACTTATTATCGTGTAAAGCGGCGATTGATTCATGCATTTTTTTTCAGTTTGGCTCACTATATATTATCGCGCTTTCTCAAATATTATGCTTTCTCGAATCGATATAGCTTTCAAAACATCTGCTTCTGCATTCGTTCGTTTCAAAGTGTGACATTCGAGACTTAAGTGCCGAGACATGTCGAGACAACCGCCAGCATGATTTGCTCATGGTCGGGGTTATGTTGGAGTGTTACTTGCAGGCTGCTGATATAATAGTATGGAGCAAGTCTAAGTCGTGCCTCCTTAGGTTGAGTTCACCAGAAAGGGCTAGACTGCAAGAACTTCAGGAGAGCATATTGGCGAGCGAGTCGGCTAATCAGACTTGTACTGTCGCACCGCCGCCACTTGGATCATCCTCGCCATCGAAGGAGAACCTGGTATTGTATGTGCCAGAGGTGGAGGAAATACGCATAAGTCCGGTCATCGCGCGGAAAGGCTACCTGAACGTTCTCGAGCACAAAACCAATGGTTGGAAAAAACGCTGGGTGGTACGTCCTTTACCGTTAAATTTATGTTATCTAATTTAAAAGAAAAGAAAGCTATGCTTAAATATAATTAAATTATTTTCAAGTCATATTATATAATAATATTAATTCTTAATCTAAAATTATTGATTTAAAGAGATTTCAATGTCCGCGCGTTTTTTCTTTGTTATATTAGGCTGTTCGCCGACCGTACGTTCTCATTTTCCGAGAGGAGAAAGATCCCGTCGAAAGGGCATTAATTAATTTGGCTACGGCTCAAGTCGAATACTCCGAGGATCAGCTGGCCATGGTGAAAGTACCGAATACTTTCAGGTAAATTGTTCGCGAATAAGGAAGTAAGTACAGATACGATTGTACAACATATACTAAAATGTCTGTCTATGCAGTGTCGTCACCAAACACAGAGGATATTTGCTACAGACTTTAGGTGATAAGGAGGTTTACGACTGGCTGTATGCGATTAATCCTCTTCTAGCTGGTCAAATTAGGCATGTACAATAGTGTAAATTTATTTTGCTCCTTTTATCTTAATAATAAATCGTGAAGACTCCAATTAACTATACGTATTATTATCTTATACATGAAAATTATGAAAACAATAGATAAAATGCTTAATAAACTATTGTAGGTCGAAACTTGCCCGCAAAAGTCCGGCTGCCCCGAATTTAAGCAATGGCGCGCCGATAGGCATGACACCACAACTGGAGCAGCAGAACAATCAGACCAAGTGAGTGGTCGACACTATGGCCGGGGTAACGAGTGCAATAGCAAACATGTCGGAGAAAATGCTGTGTTGGTCACACTCGGCCTTAGAGTCCCAAGACTTCTGCAACTTTCGATTTCCGCTAGTCTTTGATTGACCGAGCGGAGGCGAAGCTGTCCCTTGAGACTATCCACGATTGGCAGCATATTAATATCGACGTTTTACTTTACACAGCGTCCCTTTAGCACGTTATAGAGCAGTCAGAATGAGGAAGAAAGGAGAAAAGAAAAGGAAGATGGTGCTCGTCTTTCGAAGAAGTTACAAATGCGCGTACAAATGCATTCGATTACACTGTGTTGGAAAAAAAAATGTTCGTTTTTAAGTCTCTCCGTACATTTCGAATTCGCATTCGAAGTGCTCTCCACGTCGACGAGACGAGATCGCGCGCGAATATTTTCGTTGAATTTTTATTTCTATAACACGTATATCAACGTGTAACTATGCGATACCTCTTACGTACGCGATGTGTGAGGAAGATAGAAAATGCATTTATGCCTAATAAACATATTCCTAAGACGATCACTGAAAATCGGGATAAGGAATAGATACATGTAAAAGAGAAAGTATGCGAGAGAAAGTGAGAAAGAGGGAGAGAAAGAAAGAGAGAAAACGAAATAAACGAGAGATAAAAAAATATTAATAATTTCATACGCAAGCTTAACGATCCCTTAGTGCGAAAAATTATGAAGGAGAAAAAAAAAGACAACATTTTGTAAACTAATTCAGGCAAATTGATAAGATTCATTTAAGATAATTCTCTACCTATTTTAACATTTTATCATTCTATCTGTTTTAGCATTTTAACATTTTAGCGTCGTAACGATCGTTAAGAGTAAAGACAATTTTCTATAAAGATTACATTTCCATTTTATTCAATAATCGTTTTCTTTTACTCGAGCAAATTAGATATATACATCGATACTGGCTATCCGATTTACGTATAAAAAATCGGATGTATTGCTGTACACGCAATCGATCGGCCGTCGCTCGATGAAGATTTTATCTTCTTAATTAAAGATTCAAATAATTTTATTTGCAACGCGCACGTATTGTAAAATAAGAGCATTGCTCCAAAGCAACGACGCTAACTTTGTATTAGAATGAAAAAAGATTCGAATATTATTTAAGATGTAAAAACTAAGAAGTGAGAGGAAAGAATCGTTACTTCTTGAAGCATAAAACTCGTAGAATACTTCCTTTTAACGTAATTCTAAACATTTATTCGCACTAAATCATTTATCCTCGATATAAAATAATTTTTATATCCTCTCCTATCTTAAGATATTTGCAAATTTTCTGTACATATTTTAGTACTTGCCAACTACTTTTGATTATACAAATGGGTTCAAGAGTTTAAAAGCGAAGAGCAAAAGTTGTTAAGAACAGAGAGTTACAAGTATTTGTAACTCTTTGTTTCTAAAAATCTTTGTCTAAAAATAATGTAGAAATTTTGCAACGATAATTTATGAAACTCTCTTGCAATTTTAATGTGGAATTATGAGAATGTAATTTTTTTTTCTTTAATCATTATACATACATTGCATACATTTAAAAATATTTTTCCTACTTTTATTTTGAGATGAGAATTTTGAGGCGAGAATCATACGAAATCTTAAATTGTTTATATACGAATCATACAAAATTTTAAATTGTCGTTACGAGAGTTCTACATAAAGAAAATTAATGTTCTAATAAGCAGAAAAATAATATCACTGAAAAAACTTCTTCGAAATACGAATAAATGCGCGTAGTCGGCAAGCAAGCGGCACTGTCATAAGAAATTTTCCATTTGTAATCGACCGAGATCCACAATTGATATGAAGCTAGGACAAAGCTGGAATTTTCGCACTTTGTATCTTGCAGCATGCAAAATAGATAAAATTACATTAATCTGTGGATATAGACACTCTGATACATCGTGTTTTCATGTCTACTTAGAATTTAAGCAATGCTCCTCAAACATGTTCACTACGTAATGTGGCAAGCACATCCTCGGACGTACGATGAATGCGTGTCGACGAATTTCATCTAACGAGAAAATATTCAATTTTGGATTAACAAATGTTAATTCACTTGTAGCTTGAGCATAATGAATAAAATTAGAATTATAACGACGATAAAACTTGTTTTTAAAAAAGTGAATTTATAATTAAACTTGATACAGAAAGGATTCAATCGTTCGATCTAATTTTTTTCAAAAGCAGAATGATCTGATTCTCCAATTTCTTTCTTTTCTAAAGAACTTAGAGATGAATGAAAATCCCTTTAAAGTTCAATCCGAATTGATTAATTTCCTCGTAAGATTATAAACGATTGCAAACGTTCCGAAACTTCTCTTACGTGTAACAGATTTCGGATAAAAGATGCGGCATTATAAATACATGTGTCTCCATGCAGCTTACATGGAGAACTCTTAACATCTTTGATATTAACTCACGCGACTGTGGTGTCTGAAATGTAGTCAAAGAAGGACTCATTCTCTTGATAGATATTATATATACGTATATAATAGCATTTCATGACAGTCGATATGTAGTACTGAGACATTTCACGCACAGCAAAAACCTAATTTGTTTGTTTTCATCCCGTGCCGTCGAATACATTTCCTATTGTCCAGATAGTCAAATCTGAAAAAAAAATTTGTAAAGTGTCTGCTACCAATTCTCTTGATAAAATGCCAGCAGAAATATAACGAAATTTGCTAATAGAATATGACGGAAAATTAACTGCAGAAGCAGCAGAATTTTGTAATCATTTAAATATATATATTCGATAATATTCGAATTGTTATAAAATATATAACAGATTTTGTTTAATTTTTGCTGGCTGTATGTGCTATTAAATTATGTCGGTTAGACTCTATTGGCAGATCACGAGTTTCATATGAATACAATTGATGCCAATCTGCCACAGTACTTCGCTCGAATCTGTCGACAAACTAACATCAGGAGACACGGTAGTATCTCTAAGAGTACGTGCGCAAATTTTGCTTACTGAACAGACTTTGCAAAGTATCCGTTATCAATTTTGTTAACAGAATGTCAGCAATAATGGAATCTTCTTCTTATGTTAGGCCTCTGACTTGTGTTACTCCTCTCTCATATGCTTGTGGTGCGCACGCTGATTATTCAATTGCTCTAAGCATATAGGAATTTTAATATTTTTTTTTTCGAACGGCGGATTTTTCCAAAGGTATTTCTGTGAGCAAGAATATTCTCTGGAGGTTGATGGAGCTCCGAAAGGAGATACATTCCGAGAGGAGCGTAAATATTTTGATTCCTACCAGGATCGAACTCGGGATCTCCGGATAGACCAGTGCGCTGTTTGCCATGCCACACTCAATAATGGAATCTGATAACAGATTAACCGCAAAAATAGAGTAGAATCTTTCATAATCATTTAATTAATATTCCATTTTAATCGCTATGAAATTTTACCTTCTCTGCTAAAAATCTGCTATCAGATAACAAAAGCTCTACTGGGCAGATCACGAGCTTAATACAACTGATATCAATCTGCCGCAGAATCTGCTGGCAAGCTGTTAGCATGCCGCTAACATTTTGCTTACTGAGTGAACACCCATTGTACAGTCGAATGTATGCATGTACACACATTTTTATAATTATATATATTAGAATCTGTATTGCTTCTTTACATTCTGTGAGTGCTTGGGAGCGCGTCTACAATTCGGTATAAGTTCCACGTAATATTCTTCTTATCGGTCAAGTGTGTACTGGCATCATATTGTATTCCTTAATTATTGTCTTAATTATTATCTTTTAACCTTATTCAAGCTCCTTTTGCAAGTGCGAACATTTTTTTTTTAATGTTGCCCTTCCATCGAAGTGGTCTATCGATTTCGTGTACCTTGACGTTTCTCGAGGGACAAGATTCTCTGGGGGAGTGTTCTCCGATGTGGATGTCGATATCGGAATTGAACGGAAAACGATTCTGAACTCGCTTGATTCTAGTCGCAAAGACGCTTTGTGCGTTCGATCTTGAGGCCGATTATATCTTTTCTTTTGTCTTTCTTCGATCGCGGCTTCACACGAATATAAATGCCCCGTCACCGATTATCCATTTTCGCTTGCTGACTGTTGTAGTATCTTATAGTTTTATTTTGTTAACGACACACCATATGATATATCGAAAAATAAATGCATAAATGTATAAGTTGAACTTTAGGCTCTCTATCGACTATACCGCAAGACAAGATATGGTATATACGACGAGGAAGATATATAAGAAAGGGAAGGAAGAAAAGGGAGAAAAAAGAAACGCGTATATTATGAGAGGAATTTACATCACATTTAAGTCGTTGGAGAGATTAATAATCATTGTTATTATTAGTAGATGAAATATAGAAGAACAAAGAACGGACACGGTGAGAATGAGAGCGTGTATGAGATGCTGAAAGACAGGGAAAGAGTGGAAACGCATGAAAGGGAGAAAGTATGTGAGAGAGCGCGAGAGGACACGTTCGCTTATATATATACATAATACAAAGTATAAATTATATAAATATATAAATAAATTTAATGTTATACTTTAATAAGCATTCCTTTGTCAAACATTGTCGATCATCGCGAGGCGAGTGACACAATGATGGAAAGGCTAACGGCGATGCGACCTGTACCAAGTTATATAAGTTTATGTATTTGTTTGTAAGGTAACTGGACATCCGTTACGAAGCGTTTTCGTTTGACCGTTTGCTATCGGAAACGTGCATCGACGCTGTAACTAGTATTTATTATAAATATTATATTATGGTTACTCGAATATTTCGCTAGGCTCACTGTAAGTGGTAACGTGTAATAAATCGGTCAATAAAAAGCTTATATGCTTAATAAGTTCTTTTCAAAATAATATCCACGTGTTAAAAGCTCTCATTATATATTTTACGATTAATCGCGTTTATTTACACCGATTAAAGTGAGGATGAACTGAACTAATTTAATTCTTTTACAGATACATCTCATTTACTTTAAAAAAATCTAAACGTAAAACTAACTATACAACATAATAAAAATCTATCTAAATCTTTCCAACAAGATCTAAGTCCACGCGTATATTGTTTAAATAAACCTTTTATTTTTTGTTTATTTACATATTAATTTATATTTTATTTAACCATTAAGAATCCTTGTACGTTCACGACAAATTTCTCGAAATTTTCTTTAAACCTCAGTCTTTGAGGACGGTCATTTAAATCTATATTTACATCCACATTCGCAGTCAATGCACTGAAAGCATTCGCTAATCTTTGCGCCACTTGTAGATCCGTTTGAGTAGATACAATATTTTGTATAAGTTGCTGATATTGTTCTTGATAGCAACATATGAGATTGTAAAGAGGTAAACTGGCTTGTGTGATCAGATCTGAATCCATTTGATGTGACAGAATAAGACTTATTAATAACTGAAAAAAAATTCAATGTTTTAGAATTTGCTGATTCAATATTTTAGAATATCTTAAAAAAAAAGGCACATGCATGTCTCAGTCATTTGTAGGAACTTACGTTCAAAAAAGGTGCCATTATGTCTTTGCGTGGCTGTCCTTGCGTAACTTCTTTCTTAATATGCTTAGTTAAGACTTGGATTGTATCACAGCAAAGACCAGCTACTTCATTGCCGAATGAGTATAAACCTAATTCCACTGACGCTAAAAGTTGTTGCAGCAATTTAACAGAGAGACTACAAACTTTCTCAGGACATAGCTCACATACAAATTTTATCATTTCGAAATACCTATAGAAAAAAAGTAGTTATTTTAATATACAAACATAATAAGAAATATTATATTATATGAATTAAAAAATTTTTCAAATATTATGTTATAAACTGTTAATGAAAATTCAAAAAATCAAATTATATATGTATTATAACTTATTTTAATATAATTTCAATATAATCTAATTTAATATATTATTTAAATTAAATGTTTATCTTTTTGTTATAATTATTGTATTATATACAATTATACTTACTGCAAACATAATGACGGAAATTTTAACAAATTTATTGTCATCATAGGCATGATTATATTTAAGCCATACAAGAAAACATCAGTAGGTGGTACGGGTTCGACGGCCGGTGCTGCAGACGCAAGTTGAGTTGATGGGTTTACGAAGTTATTTAAATTAAACATGTCTTTCATTAATAAATTAGTTAATAATCGCATAAGTAACACAATATCCTGAAAACTATCCTCTTCTGCAGTCGAGTCTACAGTAAACCGATGACTGTTACAGCGAGCATACGTTTGCATCATTTGCATACAAATTTCATATACACGCATACTATCAGCCTGAAATAATACAATAAAATAATAAAATAATACGTCAAGATTACGATTACTATTAAAATTTTTAAATAGAATTAATTATGATAGCTTATATAAATAAAAATGACTTACGTCTGATAAGAATACAATTTTTATATATTCATTAAAAAGCTCTAATATCAGCTGTACTATATCTTGATAATTATGATACAAGGATAATATTTTTGGAAGTTCGGCTAATATGGGAAAAGTATATTGATACACAGGTCCTACTCTCGAACTTTCAGCACCTAGCACTACACCTATTCAAATAAGATTATGTACGTGAAATTTTATTTTAAATTAAACAAAATATATGCGCATCATTGATCATAAAAAATTTAAATATATCATATTAAATAAATCAAATTTAAATAAATATACCTATACAAGATTCTAGTATATCTATAATTTGAATTTTAATATGTTCTTCGTGGTAAGACGACATAAAATTGTCACTAGAAATTAATTGTGTAAATCTGTTCTGCAAGGCTTGTAAAATCCGCGACCAGTAGTACTGATCACTATTTTGTAACGTGATACCAGCATGAACCACTACACGCATTAATCCTCTTTTGATAATCTGCGGGAAATCGTACTGTTCTTTTGTAGCCAATTCAATAATATAATTGAAGTTCTCAGATTTCGACAGGTAGGAAGTTCTGAAAAATTAATATATATTTAGATTTTAAATCATTTCAATGAAAATATTATTACAACGATTACTTTAACGCGTTAATAATCTCGTGTAATATGCAGTAAATTGATATTTGTATACAATAAATGCCTTTATATCATTTTACGTAAGCATATAGCATGTAATGTGATACTTTCTGCAAACACAATTAAATCACAAAGGAATAAGAATCACGAATTATAAAATTGTAAAGAACATTTACTTTGTTAAAGCAATCGTAAACATAATATATTTGTTAAAGTACACGATAATTTGTCTAGGGCACGCATATTAATTTTTCTTAATTAAGTCATGTATCAAATCAAAATAGAGTGATATATTAAAAGCAAAATGAATGACCTCGAAAATAAAAATACAAAAATCATTAGAGAATCATAAAAAGTTTTAGATGTGGAAATGGAGAGCGAAATAGTAGATTATGGTAACTCCTTTCAAAGCTGGAAGGCAAAATAAATTATCTGTTTTAAAAAATCATTGATGTTTAAGCAGATTAATATAAAAAGATATATATCCTTATAGTACATCCTTATATAATACATAAAATTTTTTTAAGTGATACATGAGATACAAGAAATTCAAAAGATTTGTATTAGCCTTCAAGAGAAATTATTGATTAGAGAAAAAAAATTTTGTTATGTACTTTTATATTATCACAAGTTAAACTCCAAGATGCAATCGTACATTAATTATTTAAAAGTTTTGAATCGATGCAGATAAAATTTTATTTTTAGTTAATTATAGATAAATCTTAAGAAAATATTAAAATTAAAAAAACAACAAAATATTAAATAAAATAGTTTAAAGTTGTGCTAAATATTAATCTCAATCCAATTTTATGAATGGAATTGCGCATAAAAAAATACACTGTCAAAGTGAGTTTGACGTATACAAATCTTCTAAAATATCTCATATACATATCTTATTCTTCAGTATATATTCTCATTAGTACATATTTTATTAGTACATAAAAAAAATTCAAGTTTAATAAATTTATTGTTTTCATAATAATTTATGAATAATTATAATAATTTATAATCAATTTTTGCCCGAAAAGCGGATATATATACAAGCACCTACCCGAAAATAAATCCCTCATATTTTTTTCACAAAATATCATCCAGCAAAAACCTTAGCGAAATCCATAATCCGTGAATTCCGGAAGATTTTCCATTCTAGTCATGTTCTATTCGAAACTTAATTTATTAATTATTAATTTGTACGGAAAAATACCGTTGTCCCTAAACAAATTATTAATATGACTATTACAAAGGCACATTTTGCGTGTTATATTTACCTCGCTCGCGATTTAACAAGAGATATTAATAATTTTATAGTTTCATCTATTAGCGCCGGTTCGCTTTTGAAAGCGTTGATGTTACAAATTATTTTGTCCAGAAGAAAATTCATTGACCACAATGCACCAGGGCTGTCATCACCAAAAGCATGCAAAAGCGTGGTGCTTAATTCATTGTAATGGTCCTCATTTGGTATAAGATAAATCTCTGACCATCTATGTAAAAACCATATTATCGTGCTGCTCAATTCAGGACTGAGTATATTTTCCAAGTGTATCGATATGGCAGTTTTCTCAATAGTGCATAAACGAAAAATGCCCGTGATTAATCGAATAACTTGATCGATCGAGGCTGAGGGACTACTTATATCCGATTGAACATTTTGCGAGGACACTAAAAACTCCAGTGTACGATTTACATCAACATTTCCTTCTTGAGACTGAAAACATATAAAAAAGAAATTTAATACTTTCGTCTCCAGAGTAAAGTAAAAATTGCGATGAATATTTGCAAACCTGTTTCATACTGCATCGCGTTATTTCTAAAGGTATTAGGGTTAATGCGATTTCACCCTCACATTCCATACAAAAAACGTGCCCCGTTATTAAAATGAGCCAATGCAAATCTTCGTACAACTCATCCATAGAGGCAGGTCGAGATGACGATTCATTTTGTTCGACCAATAGATTTAGATTGTCGCGCAATTTATGTATTCGATCTTCGAGTAATTGCGCTAATAAAGGTAAAGAATGATCTGGTACTTGTCTACCAAAATCTCCTATAAATTATCAAGCATTTGCTATTATTATCATTATTGGTCTGCGTAATAAAATGTATTTTAATAGACCAATTATAATACATTGGACCGTTTCATGCACGTAATATATCATTTTATCCTTATTTATCGAATATTAAACAAGGATAAAATACATGTATATCATATGCAAAAAGGAATGCACTTATTACTTACCAATTATTTGTAACTGCGCCTTAAATTTAACTTTGTCAACATCCTCCACATCTACTACTTCCTCGCTAAGATTTTTTCCACCAATGTTTCTAACACCCTCTGGAGGTGATAAGTGACATCGAAGATATATATTAAATATCTGAATAGAGCTCTGTTTACAAAAATCTGCTGGAAAATATGATGAACATAACATGCACGACCATACTTCAAACATGTGTTCCACAGCTTCCATATATAAACAATCATCAGCACGTATCTGCAAAAATATTATAAAATATTGAATCTTTTTGTTTCATACAGTTCTATATATAGAAAGAGATGTTAGATTGAGTAACGACGTTTCCCATGATTGATTATTTTCTATATATATCTAATATCTATTTATATCAATATCTATAACTATAATTTCTAATTTCACAAATAATAAATATTTTTTTATTGAATATTTTAGAAAAGATAAAATTGAATTCGGAAAAATTATTCTAGGTCGAAATTCAGACGCAAATTGGAATAAAATACAATAATAATTACCGATTCTTCTTGTGCAGCACATTCTATAAATAAGCATGTTAATCTTGTTATTTGTTCCATAAATGACTTGTATAAGTCTTCTGGAAGACTTTTTAATGAACTTGGAAAAAAATGATTAATCTTTTTTATAATGTTGGTAATTCCGTTTGCCTCCTGATCGCTAATTTCAATACTTAATATAAGCTTCAAAAATCTCTGCATGTAATTTGTCAGGTACTGCACTTCTAATTGTTCCCCGTTTAGGATTCTACCATGTAAACTCGCCAGTTGTATCAAACAATTCATAGCATGGTGAGCTAATTGCGGATTGCTGCGTACTTTCCAATACAGTGTAAAAAATAAATCTAATATTGCTGGATCTAATATTACATCTTGCCATGATATATGCATGCTCAAGGGTGGATTATTTCCAGATTCATGAATTTCCAACATGTACAATAATCTTTTAGGTAGTGCACTGGAGTTAAGGTATACATCAACAACTGTAATGTATCTGTACAAATATCTATCTGTTATATTTATATTCATATATTTTCATTTTCCACATTTAGTATTAAAATTTGTATAGTATTATGTCACATTAAAATACTAAATATGAAATTTGAATTAAATAAAAGTTGTAATGTTTTCAATTTTCTTTTTTAGTTTTTTTTCTTTCTATTTAATATATAATATTTTTACATCAATATATAGATTGATCTCAAATGTATTAATAATAAAAGGATATAATTTGCATTATAAATAAATCCCCAAGCAAGCATACTTTCCACGATAGAAAGTAAAGACTTTACAAGAGGTAATGTCGATTCATCAAAATCCTTCTTGATTAATTCATTAAATACTTCGACACAAAACTTGAAAATTTTTTTCATATCACTTTGTTCAAACTGTTTTTTCTCTTTAAGATGAACTTCCCATGTTAGACCTATGTCGGATGATTTAGCAGTCGTTGCATACTCTTGCAATATCGCAGTTAAAATATTGCATCCTAAAATTTGCTGCAAACAAAAAAATAATCTTCTTTCTGTTTTTTCGCCTTACAAAATAAAAAGTCAATTTTGTCAATGTACTTACTTCAATGTATACTTACATTTGGTAAGTTTCCACTCTTAATCAAATTTTCTATTTCATTTATTATTCGACTTCTCTCTTGTCCAAAGTCATCCACGCTACCTCTTTTAACTATTATTGCAAAAACTTGGAGTATTCTTGTCCTAACATACGGCGCTAACGTAGGTTTGCTTATAACATAGTGTAACAGATATTGTCTCAACGAAGAGATGTCAGATTCTGACAGAGTGGGCCACTCTTGTATCAGAGCTGTTTTTATCAAGCCAGCTGTTTCAAATAATATATAATCTACAGTGCTTAATTCTAAAATTTGCTGACACAGCTGATAAGGTGACTTTGTTTTGCGAAAATTTAAAAATACTGTTTCCGCAGATTGACGTTGATCTGATGAAATTAGATTCGGAGGTGCCTGAAAATGTAAATACAAAATCATTTCAATCTTTCATAGTTGCAAAAACATAGAAACAACATACTTGTAGAATACATAAATAAGATATTTCTTTTGTATTATTTAGTAAATCTTAATATTAATATGCATTCTAAATGTAGGTATCAATGATATACTCGTCAATCAAAAAGAGATTATTACAATTAAAATACTTAATTGTAATAATCAAACCAATTATAACTGTTGTGTGTTTCGCGGGTTTTCTCCGTGTCTAGAATTGGAATACTGAGTATTAGGTTGCTCCTCGCCCTGATGAAGTGGACTGCAAGGCTCACGAAACGTTGCCATTCCAAGAATGGATCTAGACACGGAGAAAACCCGCAAAACACACAACAGTTATATAGAAAACACCCATGGAAGTCTCAAGAATATTAATCAAACCAATTGTTAATAGCAATTCAACAAAAAAGAACATTCTATTTTATTATATTGATATTCAGCCGACTTGTAACAGATATTTTGCAAAATCTGCTCCTAGTAAGCAAAATGTCAGCAATGTGCTAGCAATTTGCCAGCAGGGTTCAAATAGATTTTGTGATAGATTGACATCAACTATAAAATTTATCCTTTTTAGCTAAACTTTTTGCAGAGTTTTTTTTCCTTTTTCTCTACACTGGAGAAAAAAAGAGAAAAAATAAATGGCACAAAAAATTCAGCAAAAAAAAACAGGCTTGTAGTCAATAACTGAAGATAATTAATAGAGAACAAAATCAATTTTCAAAACCAGTGTTAAAAATTGCTATCAAATATAATTATTTATATTACAAGGGTCTTTTTATGGCTGCACTAGTATACACTTATATATAATTAAATTTCATAATTGCCAATTATAAAATTGGATCTCACAGTGATGTAATATATATTGTTATTGCTACATATAATACCAAATTACGTAAAATTATTTTAATTAAAAATATTATTTAATTTATTAATTTCAAGTATGATTTATAAGTATATTTTACATAAATAAATCAGAATTTGTAGAAAATTACAATGTTTTCAATTTTGCAGTTGATAATTCTAAAATTTAATCGGTCAATTAAGCTAATTAGAGTTAATGAGACCATCCCATTAATTTGTAACTACTAATTATATATTAACAAATCAAAATAAATTTGTCTAATTATAACATCAATGAACACAGTCGATACTCATCTACAAGCAAACTTGCTTTTACTTTAACTGTATTTACATTAAGCTTATGTTTCATTATTTATTTTGGAATGTCAATAGGTTAACATAAACATTGATGCCACGAGATGCTCTGAAATCACACATCGCTTCAATTGCTCCCAAATATTTCTTTTGTAAAACAAGCTTGAAGCAGCAAATATTAGAAATTACATAACACATAGAGTAATCCAATACACTTGAAATAGTTTTGTTTTGCTTTACCTCATAAGAAAACATTCGTTTGAATAATTTGTTCTGTTTTTAAGAAGTTTCTTAGATCATGCTTTATCTCGTTTTTTTTCACCTTGCGTGTGTGTGCCGATATACGCATGGAATTCGTTGAATCTTAAGAAATATCTTATAAGGATCGTGAATTACAGAGATCTTAACCTCAAAATAGAATTACCAAAACATAAACAAAAGTTTTCTGGCATAATAAAGAGCAATGTATTCTACTATAAATTTTGGCTCTGCGTATGCTAACACGTAGCAAATCCCACAAGAATTTGTAAGTGGTATCTTTTATTTCACTAACCGTTTGTGTTTAAACATTAGTTTTGCTTTTAAGAGATAAAAGAAAATTCAACGGTACGACTCACCAGAACGATTTGCGCCGCGGCTTCTAACTCCCTCAATATTTCCTCCGCCATCTCAAATAAAACCTGTCTATTTTAATTATAAATTTAATTATATAGACAAATAAATAGACTATATTTACAAAAATGTTTTACCTTAAACTGCACAGACCACAGTGCACACGGTTGACTCGGCGTCCCGTCTGAAATTAGATAGCTTTATAGATAGTAGGTCTCATCATGGTGAAAGAAACCCAGGTGTGTCGTTCTTGAGATAAATTTCAAATGGTTCTGCGCAGATGCCAAAAAGCATGAAGAGAGCATAGACGGACATACACGCATGCGCAAATATACACGGATATGGACTCATGTAGTATGTACCTTTTTATGCCCTCTTCATGCTAGTAACTGTACTGCAAGCGGCCCGGAATTCGCATCATTGCATCCAATCGCTTGCCGCTTGAGATACATGGAAACAGCCATTCTGCGTCCTTTCTGTGCAGTCTTTGATGTACATTTATTATTTCCTTTGTACAATTAAAATCATTGAAATATAATACGTATATTTCAGTAATTAAACTATCACGGCGTTTAAAGAACATTAAAATTTAAAGCAAATTTAAGGAGCATTAAAAAATGTCGGAATATGAGAAAGTACGGACGGGAAAGTTAGTATTGAAAGGCGAAAAATCAAGGTATAATTCTTATTTTCTTATTATTGCTTGAAATTTGATATTTTATTTATATTTCGTTATTTGATATTTTATTCATTGTTCCTTTCCAGACCGAAGAAACGAAAATCTAAGAGACAAGAAAAAGAACAGGATGTCACTGTGGAGGATAAAGATACTCTTACTCATGGTATTTGTTTATTAACTTTTTGTCAAATATTAAATTTACATGTCTTACTTTATATTCTGATAAGAGTACATTTGCTCTTTTGATGATATTTTATGTAAAAAAAACGAAAATTTGGAAAAAACCTTAATATTTAAAAAACTCGCTTAATATTTAAAAAACAGTTAATAGTGATGTGTTTAAAGGTTAGAAAATTTATCCAATGGAATGAAACTATAAGCATGTACTCACTACAATAGAAATAGCATGCGAAATATAAAATTTAATACATAATTATAATACAATTGATTGCGTAAAAAAACAAGGAACAATTTGAAATTGACTTAGCTTTATACAAAAAATTGTGGAGTTATCAAATTCTTTGTGATAGCTTTCATTTCACACTGCAAACATTGTAATGATTATAGCTGGAAGTTCAAAAGTCATGTGGAATTATACAATGGCCAATGTTTTCTAAGCAAAATAATTACATCCTTTGAGTATCGTTTTATTGATTGTCTCACTGTTTTTTCCACATTATCTCAGATATTAATATGTGCAAATATAAACCATCTCACAGAAAACATGTGCTCAGTTCATGTTTTAAAAAAAAGCAATTTCGTAAGAAGACCAGTATGTCCCCATTTTGTGCATTAAAAAAATTGTTTTTATACTCTTCAATATATGTACAGTAAAGTTTTCTAAGTTATTTTTAAATAAAGTTATTTATTTATCCATAATAAATTCTCAAATTTAGGTATCATTTTAGGGCCTGAAGGCGTTACTCCTTAAATATTACCTTTAACTTTGAATTATATTAATCTTACAGCAGTGATTTTTCTTTCTCAAACCTTTATTTATATAAAGATATATTAAATGAGTATATTTTTATCAAAATTTAATGAGGCATGTAAATTTTTTATTTATGAATTTTTTTATTTTGTATAAAACATTTGCAACATAGATGCATATTTTGTTTAATAGGAGGATGGTGGAAGGTTAAGAATGTTACTGAAATTACCGGAACAGTGGCTATTGAATTTGGAAACCAAGCTTACGTGAAAGCACTCGATAATGGATTGTTTACTCTTGGAGCACCACATGACGAAGGAGAAGGCCCATTACCAGAAGAAATATTAACGGCATTTCCTATAAGTGAAACTAAGATTGCTTTGAAATCAGGATATGGTAAATATCTTGGAGTTGATAAAAACGGCATCGTTATCGGTCGAAGTGATGCAGTTGGATCTATTGAACAATGGGAGCCAATTTTTCAAGTAATTCCTATATATAGAAATAAAAATAGATATTAATTTAATTGGAAATTATGTTATATACACTTTGTGTTAATATATATTTATATTTTATTGATTCTTTTCAAAAATATCTAGTATTTGTATTTACATTTAACTTTTATGTTTGCTTCTATGTTGTTTCTTATCAAAGAAATTAATTATTAAATAAAATGATTTTATTAAATAATATATAAACCAAAATAAAAAATAAAATATAAATATAGTTTCAATTCCGTAAATTAAATTTTTATTACTGAATGTAGGAATATTTTTGCACCGCTTTTTAAATATATTAATTCATGCCTTCTTTCAGGATGGCAAGCTTGCAATACTAAATAATACTGGATGTTTCATGTCAGTTACAAATGACGATGATATAGTTTGTCAAAATAGGACAGCTGGTACATCAGAATTTGTTGTTGTAAGAAGTATAATACAACGTTCTCAAAGTCCTAATAAAGATATTCCGAAAGAAGAACAAGGTTCACTCACAGAGGTCGAAGTAAATTATGTGTGAGTATTACGTGAAATCTTATCAATCGTATAATTATTGAATAAGAAATTATTCAAGTTTAAAATTATAGAACTTTTACTTTTGCGACAATTATTTTACTGTGTTAAGAGGATTCTGATGTAACGGGTTAAAAAATCGATTTTTTTTTTGCATAAATTGTTAGAAACATATCCGAAAAATATGTTTCAAAGTTCTAGATCGAAATTCGAAATTGGAACGATTCTACAAGCAATTTTATATCTGCGCGTCACGCAGGTATACAGGGTGCGATCAAAATCCGAACAAATCGAACAATTTCTTTAAACAAAATGTTTTTAATGAAAAATTAAATATTACAAAAAATCCTTTTACATGGCACTTAGGGGATCTCTGTAGAGCATAATTATTTGATATATCCCCCATTAGCTTGAATGACGGCCTC